ATTCAATTGGACTGTATTTATTTTCAGCCTTTATATAGCGATTTCACTCTGACACATGTATAATATTTGACAAACTATGGGATTTATTTATTTATTTTAGCAGTGCAGTCTGACTGCTTTATATCACTACAATGGTAGAATGTCTTCGGTTATAGTGCATCACTCATGTACAAGTAAAAAGTGAAAAAAAAAATCAATTATTAAAATATGTAAAAAGTTAACAATTATTCCAGTATTGTCCCTTTGTTATAATCACGAAAGTTCAATTTCAATTATTTAAGGATATCATATGTAAAATTAGCTATTTTACAATTAAATTATTTTTAGGTGTTTAAAGTTGACTTCTAAATACAATAGTATTTCTCTTAAAGACTCTTCATACCGATTTCCGGAAATTTTGATAAGCTATGGATAGGGGAAAAAATTCTTTGTAAATGAGATTGGAAGTTTAAACAATCCTGACAATGAGCGTTCGAACGACAAATTGTCAATCGATAAATGCGGTAAACACCACGTGAAATACCCCCTTTTGTAACCCATGTCCCGTACATGTAGATTTAAATTGCAATTCATTTTGACAAACAAGGTACCTGTTCGTACATGAAAGACAAAGGCTTAAAGGATTTACAATGGCGGCTAGGCATTAAAGGTATCTAGACAATGGAATAAAAAACAAGGTAATGTACACAGTTTATTTGTATACTAGTGTCAGGTCAAATTAATTTTTACCTTTGATTTAAACTAATTTAGTATAACTCTAAGCGATAGTTTTAAAATAAACAAACTGTTACTGTTAATGAATGAATTATTTTGACATGTTTCATTACAAAATAGGCATCTGAATTTTCCCGTGTAAATTGATAGTTATGCTTGTTTTATGATTGACTTTTAGGATGACTCAGCGCGTGGTACAGAACATAGAGAACGACTACCTGATCTGCAGCATCTGTCTGGGACGCTATACCGACCCCCGGCTTCTCCCCTGTGGTCACTCGTTCTGTAGACAGTGTCTCTCTGACTACATCCAACAAACCGTCGTCAGTCCTAATGCACGAACCCTGAAATGTCCAATAGACCGGGGCTTCGTCAGCGGGCCGGGGTCCAATATTCACACCCGCGAGTGGGCCTCTTCTTTTCCTGTGGATCAGTTTGCTTTAAATCTTCTCTCCATCGTCAATGAACAAGAGCGAGGTGGACCTAGGGTTGCTATAAATAGCCAACCAATCAATCGAGGACCTGGACCTCCCTCTTCTGGAACTTCTCACAATTTCCAGACATGCGCAGTCCACAATGGACGTTTAATGGAATACTTTTGTATTGGATGCAATGAACTCGTTTGTGCTCAATGTGCAATTGATAACCATAGAACAAGAAGATGTGATTGTCTTTCCTTTGAAGAAGCAGTGACTAAACTTCAGCCAAAGGCAAATTCTTTACATGTTCGATTTCAAAATTTGATTTTTCGTGCTCAACAGTTGGCGCAATATGGTTCCCCAGAGCACAATAGTTTACAACAAGCCAAAAGTAGAGCAATGGAAAGTTTGACAGAAATAGAGTCAAATATAAACCGTTTCTCGCAACTCTGTTTTCAAAATGCGGAAGATTTACGTCAAGAAATCGCATTTGCGGGACAAGAATTACCTTCGGAATCTCGTCAACTAGCGGTACTGTATGATAAAATACAAGACACGAAACTAACATTTGATAACATTCTGAATACGAATTCAACCCTAGATATCCTTAACACATATAGAAGAATAGAGTCACAAGCCAGTGAATATGATCGCTCGTTAGCCTCCACCACACAGAGAAACCCTCGATATATCGAAATGTCCGATCATGCCACCTTTTCTAGGTTCCTAAATAACCCTCCACCCCTAGCTTCGCTCAAAGTCAAATATCCAAATCGAAGAGACCATCAACAACACATAAACTCTATTAATGAGGACGTGGAGCATAACGCCGCGGTATCACCCTTAACACTGCCCGTCCAAAACCCAAACTCTGGGAACCGAAGAATGTTAACCTCAACAGTTCGAGGACATAGGACTCAAAACCGTCAAGATCAGACTCGAAGCAAAAGTAAATCGGTAATAAATGTTAAAAATCCACAAGAAGACACAACAACATGGCATTTGAATGGAATAGTTTTCATTGGGTATCATGTGCTGGTCATTGATTCGTACAACAACACGTTAAGAAAATGCAGCATTGCAGGAACATTCACTACTCATGAAACTTTACCCATAGAGGGACCAGCGAGTATCACGTTAATGGACAACCCGACAGAAGTAGCAATATCCCAGCCTGAGAAAAAGCAGATTGTTATAATTAGTACCGACCAGGAACTAGCTGTAAAGGAAACGATTCGAACAAATAAACCGTATGATGTTATTTGCTTACACCAAAGAACAAACTTTGTTACATGCAGTTTCAGGGGAGCTAAATGTATTGATATTATTAACAGGGTCGGCCGTGTTCAGATCTCGATAGAGAGGTCTCGTATTTTACGTGACCCTCGATATCTCACCGTGACACGTGACGGATTAATTGTAGTCAGTGATAATGAATTACGTCGCGTGATTTGCATGAATTCAGAGGGACAAGTACAATGGACGCATACCCCGAATGCGGCACCCTGGGGTGTGGCTTCGGATAAAATGGGTAAAATCTACGTTTGTTTGGATAATAATGACGTTCAAACACTGTCAGATGAAGGTCATGTGCTTGAAAAGAAATTCTTGTCTGCAAGGGATGGGATAAAAATGCCGTATGCTATTTGTGTCAGATCAAGACAACTTGCAATTACGGAGTTTGGTTCCAGTTTATTCACTCCAAATAGTCCTTGGGTTCACATCATATCAGTTTAGCTGGAAGGCGGAATGGTGCTATCTGTCAGAGATTGTCTTAAAAGATTAATTCAAGAAAACATACCAAACATGACATTGCGACCATGTAAAATTGAAATCTGGGCAAACAAGAAACTTAAAAAAGAAAATTATTCTGATATAGAAAAAATCAGCTCAACTTCTATCTGCAGTATTTACCTATTAAATAGAACTCATTGTTGGTGATATTACTTAATGTAATGCTTGGTGAACGTTTTATTCTCACAGCCTATAGCTAAAGTTTTTATTGTAAATTAAAAAGTATGAATTTCCTAATCTAAAGTTTAAAGTACATGAAGTTTTCAGATCTAATTGTTCTGTGATTAATAAAGAAATTCAGACTTTAGGAATAATCAAGATTTGTCGTCTCAACTGTTTAGATAATACAGTGTGCTTTATTAAAAATAATAATTAAAGGTCCGTTCAAACTATACAAACCAGAAGCAGAACAAAACAGGACTCTAAAACATCAGAGATGGGATCAAATACCCTGGATGAGTATCCCCTGCTAACCAGTCATTCCTGCCATGTGCTCTATGTCATGATCGGGAAGATGGAAGAACCCGTCGACAATTCAGTGTGCAAATAATGGCCTTACAAAATAAAAATCGTCAATCTGCTTTTAATGATAAATTGTATTTGTTGACAGAATCATTGTAGCGACCATAGGACTTACGAAAAGCTGCTAATATTCTTGTTTTATCAATTTGCTTGTCAATGATTTACCTCGTTGCAGAGACTGTTAACTTAATACCTATAAGTATGTTCATGTGTATCGAATCAGCTGAGAGATATAAACTTCGTATACAGGTTATGTAGGTATATTGCTGCAAAAGTTAAGAAAATGGTTGACAGTAGAAAAGTTAAACACAGCACGTTATTTATAGTCTGGTTTTTAGATAACTTTGGTATTGGTTGCATGTTAACAAAGTTATAAACATTGTCTACGACGTTTTGGACTAACCTTTTCTTGTAATTATTGAAGTTGAAAATATTTAATATATGAAGATTTAAAATCAAATGTTCTTCTCTAGGTTATTGCTTAAAAATTTTGTTAGGTTATAATGTGGTTGAATGAGTTGACTTTCATTGCCTTCTTTTTTTATGTTTTAATTTATCATACTAGGAGTTAGGTCATAGCATTTCTAACTCTGAAAATGACAGTTATTTAACTCAAAAGTCTATGTAAACAATACAAATCGGAAGAGAGCAGACACGGCCCGCCAACAGATTTACAGATGGGATCAGATTCCGCGGAGGAGTAAGTATCCTCCCTTTTAGAGTTTAGACCGCTTTTGTTGTGTGCATCTCGTCATGATTTGAAAAATGGGAAAATTCAGTGTGAAAATAAAGGTCTGACAGTTGGTGTAAAAAATGTCATTCAACATTCGACCTAAACGAAAAATAAATTCTAATTGTACATTATACTGTGAAATCACTATTTTCGTGGGGGGGGGGGGGGTGTTTAATTTTCGTTGTTTTTGAGGTATGATTAGACCCACGAATTCTCCTCTACCACGAAGTGTAAAATTTTATATACAGAACTACTAAAATGTTTTTATCCACTAAATGAAATCCCAACCAAACACCCCCCCCCCACACACACACACAAACACGAAAATTTAACCCCACGAAATAAGTGATTTTACAGTAATATCCTATAACGGTTTTTTTTCAAGACCATTGTAAGGGCGTGTACGGGCGCTTCGAAAGGCATTATTGATGCACATTATTTGAATTACCTATCTTTAATGGTGCACTTTTTGAGTTATCTATCTTTGTTTATGTCTTAACTTAGCGATTAGTCTAATAAATGGTAAAAAAAAAAAAGATTTTTAATTTGCTGTCAAAACTTTTGTACCCAAAACATAAACTTGTATTTGTCAACTTTCCGTGACAATTTTCCCAACTAATTAGCGATAAAAGATATCTATACATTTACCTTAATCTTGTTCTAGCCAGTATCACCGCCTTAATTGTCTCAGTAGAACATTTTACCTTTGATGTTGTACACAAGGAAACTATCACTTACGCAGGAATTATATTTTTCGTAATTATGAAAACAAACGTCCGGTTATATAAGTATCAAAGGAATGAGATAAACCGAAAATTGAAAATTAATTATAAAAACAATTATTAAAACATGTCGTGAATAATAATTCTCCCACGTTTAGATTTCAATGTAATATGTTTTACGGTGTGACCGTTAGGGCGAGCGCAGTTTATTTACTATCATAAACCTACACATGTACTGTCTATCATTCAAGAAAAAGAAAGCAAAAAGAATAAAACAAAACAATAAAAAGAAATCATTTCCCAAGCATCGGGATCGAGATTCCAAACTTCTCGGAAGTTTCCGACAAAATCGGAAATTCCCGAACCGTTGAAGTGACGAAAGTATGACATCAGATAAAAAGTTCTGTTGACTTAGGACGCAAACGCTAGTTTTATGGAAAAGAAATTGCATTAAATCGTTCTTTTCAAGTAAGTTGTTGCTATGTTTTAGCCACCATGTTGCTATGCACCGCAACATGTTTTCCGAGTTTCACGGAAGCAACCGACATAACTTCGTCAAAATTCGTAAGTTTCCGGTGACGTCATTTGTATCATTTCCGAAGGGCAAGGTGAAGGCCGGTGTTGTGGCATGGGGGTATTTTTTTGAATAAGGTAAGGCAAAATCATTTCGTTAAGATTTCGGTAAGAAACAATGTTCCTTTAATTTTTTTTAACTATTTTTGATTTATTCGCGCAAAGGACATTGGGTAGTGCAGGAATTCTGGGAATGTTGCACAGAGAAATTTGGCTGACGTATGTACAGATTTCAATCCGAATTTCCTCTGTTCATACACGTTAGTCTATTGAGCTCGCTGCGCTCGCTATAAATTAAACTTATAGCATGGTAATATTATTTCAATTCTTTACTGTTGCTTTATATATACATTCAATGGTCGTTTGCGGGTTTTAGCTAATCCCTGAAGAACAGAAATGAAAATGGCGGACATCTAAGCAATTGTCGTCCACCGGTGAATAATGTTTGAATAAGATATATTAGGAATGTGTCCAAGTTCTGAAATCAGAATTATTATTCTTTGATCTCGGGTATTTCCCAAATTATAGCTGTAGAATAAGAACGTATTTACATGTTATTTATGCCTGTGGTTTAACAACAGTATGAAACTACGGAGGCATTGAACAGGCAAGTTGGAGAAAAATAAGTAGTAACACAATTCAAAGAAGTTTTAACTACAATTTTTTAAAAACTTTATTTAAATGCTGTACTCATTAAAATACCTCTTTATTTTCTTGATACGTTCATGTCACGGAATTACCCCGGTAATTTTAGACGTTTACCTATTCTGATACGTTGTATCTGCGTAAGAATCTTTAGAAAACGGGAAACAAAGCCTCGTCCTATATAGTAAGTTCGTCCTATCTTAGGATTTTTCAAAAATTAAGGCTGAAAATGAGCCTTTCGACCTATATACCCCATCGACCTATTATCCGAAAATTACGGTATTACTAATGTTTTAGTAAAATCACTTCATTTGATCTATTGATTTATGATCATTTTAGTTGGAGGACAAATCAAGACAGTGTGCAGAGTTTGCTGGAAAAGCAGGGAGATTATTTGTCAGAGCAGAAAAGTGAGAGAATTTTCAATATCACTCTTAAAAGCTCAGTCATAAATCATGCTAAATTCACCCCCAAAAAAGGGGGGTTATGTCGATAAATTAGGTCAACTGAGTAAACTATAGTTTACAGATAGTAACCTGTAATAGGTGATGTTAATGTATACTGTAAATGTATTACATTTGACTGTATATTCTTTTTGGCGAAAAAAAAACTTTTGCTAATTCAAGTACAACACTCAGTGTTTTGCACATATAAACATAAAAGGAATATCAAGAATTAAGCTATAAATCAAATCCACACTAACTTATTTAAAAATCAATCTCTGCTAAATATTGTACACGCTAAATATAATACATTTTCTGTATTTTACATTTATAAACCATATTTAACTCATAGATTGTGATAGCAGAACATTTTTAATCTGATAAATACCATTTCAGAATTTGTAAAGTATGATTACAACTCTCTAAATGTAGTTGCAAATGCTAATAATAGTTTTAGGTTGTATGGTTATAGTTTATGGTGCCAAGTTCACAAAATTATGAAAAGCATAAGTTGATATTGAGGCATTTTTTTGGAGGTGTAAATTTTCTGTGAAACTATAATTCACAGCTCTTAACTAAAGCATAGCCATTGGTCGAGTTGTTCATAAATTAGTACAGCTCATCCATATAAAGATTTCATTATGCAAGGATTTTTTTTATTGATTGTTAAAAATATGTTACTTCTTGATATTGAAAATAAATTTTTCAATTAGTTTAAAGCAGATCTAACAGTAAGTTAAAGAAAAAAATGACAAAACGTGTTATAATCATTTTTTTTTCTAATGCAGATATGATTTAGCTATTGAAGCTTTGAAAAGGGAAATAGAATTTCACCATCAGACCGAGAACTTTCCTATGATAAACAGAGTGATACTGGG